CGGATCGCCCTGGTGTTAGGTACATAAAACTTTACCTTTGCTTTGACAGCGTTGAAGCAAAATTAGAATTTATGCGTTTGAAAAAAAGAACAATTTTTTTGGGTCATCGTAACGGTTCGGATGGGAAGCCAAAGCCAGCCGGATCTGTCTGGGGCACATCATGGGGGAGAACTATGAGGAGCAAAACCCGTTGACATAGCGGAAGAAAAGAGCTAGATCGCCGACGGCCCGTCGGTGCGAAGGGATCCTTAGACTGTCCGGTACAGAAGAGTAATCGATCAATCAGCCCTTCTCTGAAAAGCATGATTATGTAGTCGGTGCGGAAGCACCCCAAACGTGTCAGCGGTACTCCAGGCTAGGTCTTACCTTTCATCCCTAAACAAATAGCCCAGCTTTTCTTCCAGCTATTGACGAGACGTGTTCGTGCCAGATCGATTGTCAGAACTCCGACCAGCCGAAATAAACGATTGTTTGGTAGAATTTGGCCATGCATCGAAATCGGATAAGCGGCTAGGCCTTTTCTTGTTAGTCAGGATACAGTCCTGTGTTTGGGTAGTATTAAACAGTTTAAGATTGTTGCGTCACCAAGCAGTGATAAGCTCCAGGTCTCTCGTGAGAGAGGAAGTCGCTGCTAGTCGAAGGTTTTCCAGCCTACCGGCACACAATGGTTGAGAGGGCTCCATTTCCACGAAAAAGATACTCGTATCAAAATTTCTGATTTTGTTACTGATAAACCGATTTTTATGAGCCATACCCCATTAGAAAGCTAAAGAAATTCTCTTCAACAAAATTGTGTCACAAATCGACAAATGTCAAATACTGAAGATGGCGGCACTATACAGGGCGTCCCTAAAGAATTCTAACACATATAACTCAAAATACGAGCCTCTTCCCACTTCAGTTGGCCCAACTATTGAAATCTTAGTTTTTTTCTTATCAAACACAAATAATAAAAGTGTAGCAGGGTGTTATAGGTTTAAAATATTTACAATAAATATTTTGATAATATATAGTAGAAAACACCAACTTTATCACTCCCTAATCAAATTTGCAGCATAAAAATAACACATGTTGCAATTACAGCATATCAACCTATTTTCATTTCAATGCAAAATAAGTCTATAACGCATAGGCGGCTGTGGAAAATAAAAGCCAAGACAATTGTTTGTAATAATCACAGCTGTCAGAATACGTTTAAAATAGTTTTGAGAGGAGAATTTCGAGGTCCACAACTCATAGAGGGGCCCACAAACTGGGATTTAGCACTTGCAAGGTAAGTTTTATTATAAAAAAGAGTGAAGTAAGAACCGTAAAGTTGCACAACTTGTTTATAGGCCAAAGAAAAGCCACTATTAACTCCTCTGCAAAAGAAAAATCGGCTTAGATGGGCTAACGAACATAAACGATGGACACCTCAACAGTGGTATGCAATACAATGGAGTGATGAGGCTCGATTCGAAGTTTGTGTTGGTGACAGTCACAGTAGAGTTATTCGCAAAAAAAGCGAAGCATTCCATGTTGACTGTCTGAAGAGAAAAGTGAAATTTCCAGCATCCATTATGGTCTGGGGCAGTATGTCATCAAAAGGAGTAGGAAAACTTCATTTTATTGATGGAAATGTGGATACAAACAAATATTTGACAATATTAGAAGAATCGATTTTACCAGTGATGGAAGAATGTTTGACATCCGGCCAAAATTTGGGTTTCAGCAAGATGGTGCAGCGTGCCATACCTCAAAAAAGGCTATAAAATGGTTGGAAGAAAATAATGTACCACTTTTGAAATGGGTTTCTAGCAGTCCAGATCTGTCACCTATTGAAACTTTGTGGCACGAGATGAAAAAGGTTCTACGACAACATCCTGCTCGTACAATCACCGAACTGAGACAAAAGTTTCAAGAAATATGTGATTGTTTTACACCAAATTTTTGCCAAAACTTGGTTAACTCTAACCCAAAAAATATCAGCCGTAGTAAAAGATAAAGGTGATGTTACCCAATGGTAATCTTTAAATTGTAGCTTTGTTAACTTCGCGCATTTATTCGCACATTGTTTATTTGTTCAGATGTTCTATTAGTTATAGGTCTAAGTGATTTCAAATATGTATTTTTTACGACTAGAGAAAATAAATTGTTTTAGAAATAAATAGTTTCGTCACGTTTAGTTCATAAAGGTATATTTTGGTACAAATCTTGAAGTGGGCCAACTGATGAGGGAAGGGGTTGGTAGTCCAAAATATCCCGATTTAACGTAACTTACCTCAGTCCAAAGTTGCTCCGATTCCGAGATACAGGGTGGTAAAGTTAGAAAATAAAAATCCCTTTTTTTAACTCATGAACAGTTCTTAACGTATTACTACAAAAATTGGTACCCGGGGTCTTTTTTGAGATAGTAAACCCGAATATGGACATTCTTACATTGTGGCTGTTGGAGGGCGCTTTACACTGCACGTCGGATCGTTTTAACTGGCCATAACTTTTTTCTCAGTATTTTTACTTTTTTTTTTAAAAAAACAATTCCTCGACACTTTTAAGCAAAAAGGCACTGATAGGGTATGGTGAGCAGTTTTCGAGAAATTCGCAAATTTCTGCATCAATGCAGGTTGTCGAGACCCTAAATCAAAAATGCTCAGAAGTTTACAAAAACTGAGTATGTGATAGATCCTGTCAAAATGAACAGTTTTTTCCTATAATAAAGATGTGAATCAAATTTGATAGAAATAGCTGTACATTAATGTTTTCGTGATGTAAAGAATATAACTGCGTTTTTAATAGTTGAACCCTGTTTTTGGTTCTGTCCAAATACCAATCGTTAAACAAGTCTATATTTTTTATTTTGGTTTGTTTAAAAAAACATTGTGGCAGAACAAGTAAAGAAAAATATAATATTTATACTTAGTTACTATTTTCGCGGAAATGGTGCCCTCTGAACCACTGTGCGACAGAACTCTGAATTCCTACATGTAGAGTGTCCTCAGCAAAGCTATGGATCGGATTGATCGTACCTAAATGGAGGTCGATCGAATGTGAGAGGAACCATATCGCAGCCAAGACCGATTCATTATTAGTCAAATCCGGGACATACTCAGATCAATTTTTTTTACGTTCAGAACTGATATTTGAATATGTTTTCTGGAAACTGATTAATAACAATATGTGTATATACAGGGTGTCTCAGAAGTCGACGTCAAGCCGAAACCGGGTGACAGGCAAAGTCATAGCAGCTATCATAAAAATATTTAAAAAAAAATTATGTATGTGTTTTGAAAATTATAGGTCTTTGCTCCTCTTAGCTCCTGTTATTACAAATATTAACTTTTTTTAGATTTTATTTTTACAATGTAATGATGAATAATCTTCAAACTGGTGTCTCAACCTTACTGCCAAGTTTTCTCGTTCAGGAAAAATTGCCACTTATTTCCCAACCAAGTATTCCAAAGTAAAACTTTGCTCAACTTTAACTGGCTGTACTGGAAAAAAATGTACTACGAGAGTTTGGCAAGTAACCTTAAAAGTTGGCGCATTTAATAACGATTCCAAAATGGTATAACACTTAGAAGTTTACTCGTTAACTTATGCACAATTTTTATTTGAAGAAAAACTGATGAAAATTTTTCAAAATTTCCTAATTAAACAGCGATTATGAAAACGCACAAGGACCCTTGAGGATAACTGTTTGCACAACGGTGGGCGTCAAAATGCTGCTGATGATGATTTACCTTTACAGCAAATGCTCAAACTGTTTTCCTTCAGCAGCAATACACGCTCGACATCTTCTTAAAAAAGATCGGGTTATTAAACGAGCGAATCCACGGTTATTAACAAACTCAGCTGCTTCCAATAGTCTTTGCCGTAGCTCAGCTACATTTTGAATCGGCCTGAAATACACTTTTTCTTTTACAGTTCCCCAGTAAAAAAAATCTAACGGATTCAAATCTGGTGACCGGGCTGGCCACGGTATTGTACCAGACCGCCCTACCCATCTGCCTGGAAAGTTTTGATCGAGATACTCTGTCACTGAGAGTGCATAGTGCGCTGGGCAGCCATCATGCTGAAACCACATGTCCCTGTAAATACTTAGTGGCACGTCCTCCAATAAATTTTCTAAATGATTTTGCAAAAAACCTAAATAAACCTCAGCAGTCAAAGTCTCTGGGAACTCACACGGACCGATTATTTTACCATTTAAAATTCCTGTCCAATGGTTTATCTTGCAGCGATATTGAGATTTATCTTCTCTCATCAAATGTGGGTTTGCTACGTGCCACTCGTGTAAGTTATGCAGGTTCATGTACCCATCTTTCTTAAATGTGGTCTCATCTGACCATACAATTTTTTCAAAGAACCGCGGATCTTCCCTGTGTCTTTCTAACATTGTGCGACAAAAAGCAACTCGGGGCTTATAATCCCGGGGCAGAAGAGCTTGAACACGCTGTACGTGGTATGGATGGAGCACGTTTTTTTGCAAGATTCTATGGGCTGTACTTTTGGGCACACCTGTTTTTAGTTCTATTGCACACACAAAAAAAGTTAATATTTGTAGTAACAGGAGTTGACAGACTGGCGTAGGGTGTGAAATTTCTATATCTTTTTCAAATACCTATAATTTTCAAAACACATACATAAATTTTTTTTAAATATTTTTCTGATAGCTGTTATGACTTTGCCTATGACCCGGTTTCGGCTTGACGTCGAATTCTGGGACACCCTGTATATATATGTATATATCGAGGTTGTTTTGACGAAAACTCCTATGTGCTTAGAAGCAGTTTTTACAGAATGACATTTAAATTTGAAAAATTGGTTTTTCTTACATTCACACCGATTTTTAGTAAATCTCTACTGAATTATTAGAGTTTCTTATTATGAAACCCTTGTACATCTGATCACAGAGCTTGTGTTTGACTGACAGATATTCATAGAGCTATATGGATTTGTTTCAACTAACTGTTGTTTATTGCAACAATGCGACAGCTCATAACAGATATTCATTTTTCTAGAAAATGCATCCAGGTATTGTCTAGCCAACGGGACTTGGTCTAGACCTAACTATTCACTATGTGAACCTCTAGTCTACTCGGATGGAGAACCAGAAGTCAGGATATATTTAATAGGGTATTTCCTGAGCCTAATTACACTATCAGTTGCAATGGCAATTTTTGTTTATTTCAAGTAAGTAAAAACCAAGGTAAATATGATACACGTTCATTAAGAAATGTAACTGAGAACCATAATTTGCTCAATATCGCCCTAATTTGCAGCTAATTGGGTTTGAAACATTATTATGCTTTATTATACCATATAGGCTGACAAGTCTTCAAATTGCCAACATAATTATAGACATAGCAAAAAACAACGATCATCCGACACTTGTATTACGTAAAAAGGCATCTCAGATGATAGCAACTGTTGCAGACAAACATAAAGTTCGTACGTGTTATGTGCCACCAACGCAAAACACCTACGAAACTACAACTGCAGTTTTGTTATAATTTTGTATTTCGGCAGCCTCATCATTGTACACTTTAGTGTTTGATGTCTGACACAGCAAAAGGTCATGAAAACAAATAGGACCGACTTCAGAGTCTTGTGCACCCTGAGGCAAGGGACAAAATATGCGCATTACCCACTCAAAAAGACGGTAGTCAAAATATTTTTATTAAAACGAATATAGATAAGTGACTGCATTCATATAAAATCAAACACTTAATATACTAAGTGACATATAAATCCGAACACCCAGTTTAAATGGTTTTATTTTAATAAAAGTTGGTGAATGTATTTATCTTACTGTAAATAACAAGTGAAAAAATTTTCAGCCTTATCAGTTGGACATTCCGGTTTTTATACTGCTCTTTTTTAATTCACTAACGCTCTAGAAATGAATATTTCAGCCGCAGTAAAGAATCAACGTTCGCAGATGTTGGTTCTTGACATCCTTTATGATCGGTTACGATGCCTAGAGTACGGAGACCTGTACGATTTCGTCAACTTAGTGAGCTTGATAGGGGCCGTATAGTGGGACTTCGGAAAGCTGGACCTTCTTTTTGGGCAATTGCAGTTAGAGTGCAAAGAAGTGTAGACACTGTGGTGAGGTGTTGTCAGGCATGGCTTCGAGAAGGCCGTACGCAGAGAGCAAGGGGCACTGGACGCCGTCGTAGAACAACAGTCCGTGAAGATCGCCGCCTAAGATTGTTGGCCTTAAGGGACCGTTTCTCCACTACCAGGTCCATTGCAAATGAATGGTTTGCAGAACACGGAAGACCTATTGGCATGCGAAGTGTTTACCGACGAATGAGAAGTTTTGGCTTGTTTTCATACCGGCCACACTGGGTCCTCCATTTAGCTCGAGAACACCGACGTAATCGCCTTGAGTGGTGCAGACAACGGTCACTCTGAAATCAGGAATGGAACAGTATTGTCTTTAGTGACGAGTCTTGATTTTGTTTAGGCATGCACGATTGTCGTGCCAGGGTTAGAAGGCGACGTGGTGAAAGGAGGAATCCACAGTTTTTTGTTGAAAGACATGTTCATCACACTGTTGGAGTTATGGTTTGGGGTGCTATAGCTTATGGTTCCAGGTCACCTTTAATCTTCATCAGAGGTAACATGAACGCGCAGCGTTATGTCCACGAAGTTCTAGAACCCCATCTTTTACCCTATCTTGACACCCTGGCAGATCCAACTTTCCAACAAGATAATGCCCGACCACATGTTGCAAGAGTCACAATAGACTTCTTTCAACATAATGATGTCACATTGTTACCATGGCCACCAAGATCTCCCGACTTATCCCCAATTCAGCACGTGTGGGATATGATGGGTAGGAGATTGCTCAATTTGGAACGTCCTCCTCAGACTCTAGAAGCACTTCGAGAGGAGTTGGTGGTTGCCTGGAATGAGATACCACAAGAGGACACTGACCACCTGATCAGAAGCATGCCTAGGCGCGTTAGAGAATGCGTAGCACATCAGGGTGCATCCACACATTATTAAAAGTCAAAGGGCTTTAAAGCAGTGCAAACATTTTGAAATTTTTATCATTTACTTATTATGCTTCATTAAGAACTTATACAAAATTTTATTAGAATAAAACCATTTAAACTGGGTGTTCGGATTTATATGTCACTTAGTATAAATATACATTGTAGATACCAGTAGCTACATGCGTAGCTAAAGATGTATTATAAAAGAGATAGATAGATAAATATTTATCGAGCCAGACAATGTACAGTGGCATTTTGGTGAGTCGATGATTTAAGACAATGAATAATCCATTATAAAGACAGATAAAATTCGTACACACCTGGATGACAATTACATCAAGCTTCATTATACAGGGTGGCGCATCGAAAACGAAACGGACCGGCAGCTCAGTTTTTTTTTTGGAAAAAAGCTCAGACCCGTCGTTTTGTTTTTGAGGGGGACTCAAGTTTGGCAAAAAATCACTTTAACACGTGCAGCCCCCTGGGCGGGGGTGACACCAACCCTAAAATCTTAAATTGAAAGGGGGGTTGAGTGATACCTTATTTTAAAGGTCTTTCAATTCCCTTTATAATGATGTAAAATACATGAGAGCTTCAGTTCAGTAGTTTAGAAGATTTATTGATTTAAAGCTTAAAGTATACTTTAATAGGTACATCAGATTAGTTTGTACTACTTTCAGAAGACATTTGACTAAAAGAATTTACTTAATAAGTAAATGCCTTTCTTCACGACGCCCATGGTTTGTTTATCATTTTGTTGTTGAAAATAGCTAGTGGCAAAAAAGTTATTTCTTGAAAAAAGATAAGGAAATATCTCGTACTTATTTTAAATAGGAATTTAGTACATAGTTTGCCATTGATTTGACCAAACTTTGTTGCTAAAATAACTGGTAACGCTTTATTACATAAATTAACCATGGAATATTCCACAGCAGAAAGAGTTGAAATTATTGAAATATTTTTCGGAAATAATCAGTGCGCTAATAGAACAGCAGAAATATTTAAAGAGCGACATGAGAACAGTAACGTGCACCGAAAATATGTTCTAGAACTTGTAGCTAAATTTCGCCAATAAAAAACGCAACATTGAAAATTCCATAAGGAACGAAGCAATAGAAGTGGGGGTTTTAGGGCAAGTTTATGTAGATCCTACGTTAAGTACCCGCAAATTGGAGACTGTGTGCGGTGTTAGTCGACGTACTGTCCAACGGATTCTAAAGGCCCATAGTTTTCATCGGTATAAAATTCACCTGGTACAAGAACTTAATGAAGACGATTTTGATCGGCGATTACAATTTTTTTGTGAAGATATGAGTGAACGAATTATAAAAGATGAACATTTTCTATGCAATACTTGCTTTTCTGACGAATGTTCCTTTTTCTTAAATGACGTAGTAAATCGTCATAACTGCCGATATTGGTCCGATTCTAATCCCAGAATTTATCATGAGGTTCATACACAGCAGCCACAAAAATTAAATGTTTGGGCTGGTATTTTAGGCGCTCAATTAGATGGTCTTTTTTTCTTACCTGGAAATTTGACCGGTGAAAAGTATTTGGAATTACTGGAAGAGGCCATAGATTCTGCATTAACAGCCATAATTGAAAATCAGAATGATCGGCGGTACATTGCGAAAAGGTTGATGTTCCAGCAGGATGGTGCCCCACCACATTACGCATTACGTGTTCGACAATATTTAGATCAGACTTTTCCAGATCGATGGATTGGTAGAAGAGGTGCTATTGAATGGCCCCCAAGATCGCCAGATTTATCACCTTTGGATTCCTTAATGTGGGGTCATTTAAAAAGCAAAATCTATGCTACTCAGCCAACATCATTAGAAGACCTGCGACAAAGAATTTTGAATGAGTGCCTTCAAGTTACTCCTCAAATATTAATAATAATAATAATAATTAATTGCTATTAGGGGGATGCACATGCTAACGTGATTTTTTGCCAAACTTGTGTCCCCCTCGAAAACAAAATCGACGGGTCTGAGCGTTTTTAAAAAAAAACTGAGCCGCCAGTAAATGGTGTTTCGTTTTCGATGCGCCACCCTGTATATATTGTAACGCAGACATCATATTATAATTATAACATACAGTACAGTACACTCGAATATACAAACATGAGCATCATATTAAAAATATAAAATATAAAAAATTAAAAACTGGAAAGAATCTAGGTAACAGAAACGTTTCTATAGTATATTTTAAAATCTTCAAAATTATATAGCGCCATTTCTATTAAAATTCTCAGGAAGCTTATTGCAATATTCAGCATGCACTTTACTTTTAGTAAATTCTTTGGCCACGTTATCAATGTTTATTCTTTCCAATATGACATGCCCAATTGACATAAGACAACTTAATTCGATTTGAGGCCTTAGGACTTTAGGAGAAGGTACCAGTGTTGCAAGTGCAGACTGTTTGCGTTTTAATAGAAATAATTTGACGATGCTGTAGTTGGAACTTAAATTTCATTGAGCATCATATTGTTTGTTTAAAGTAATTTATTATATTTGTACTTTTTTCAACCTAGGAACACATAGCACGAATCTTTAGAAAAGTGAAGGACGACGACCTTTCTAGCTCTATCATTAACAAAGGAATGATCGGAAGCTTAAACACTCGTATCTTCGTATCTCCATTGTTAGCAAGTGCCTGGCACAAAACAAATGGAAAATGGTTCTAGTTGATTTGCCTTCAAATTCATTATGATGTATTTCTTGCCTTCCCGAACAAAAGTGACCAAGGTGTTATGTACTTGATTGACTTGAATGTTAGATAGCCTACTATTCTGTGATGTGTACTTGTGATTGCATAAGACAATTCTAGAATTGTTCATTTTGACTTCCATGTCCGTTTTGGCCGCGTGTGCATTTTCCGGAGAAAAAGTCGACTAGTGTTGTTAGACAAAAATACGTTTGTTAGTTATCAACTGCGACCATCTTACAAGAGTATTTCCAAGGACCCAGCGCTTTATTTCTTCGAATACAAATACACTAGAAACTACATACACAAGTCCACTGGCGCTCCCATGGGGTGGGGAGTACTCGAGCAGTCTTATAAAAAAATCTGTTACTTTGAGAAAGGATAGAGGCAAGACTGCCAACCCGCTCAGTGCGCATGCGACTAGCGACTACCCTCCCACCAACAGCAACGGTGTGCGCTTCTTCCTGTTGG